TGAGTATTTTCCACTTTCCTCTCCCAAATTGTTAAAGAATGTAAGTCTTGTTCAGGAAATATAGAGAGAAGTCATAGGTCCCACTCACACACCTGTAATATTAACATAGCTTACTTTCATTTGCTCTGTGTTTTCCTCATATTAAAAATGAAAGCACAAAAAATAATATCACACATCCATCCATTTACTTCAGCTCCTCCATGGTAATAACATTCCCAAACATGCCCTCTGTGCTCTCAGTTCATGCACACTTGCTACTCAATTGCAGGTCATTAAGCTGCACACCTGCAGTGACTTAACTCATGCTTTACTCAGCTCTGAACCACCCCCCCTCCCCCAGCAAGAGTGACATCATTCACTCTTCACACTCTCATGAAATATTTTCTTCTCCTCATGATACTGTGTGCCAACTTCCCTGATGAATCCAACCTGTAATATTCAGCAGGTAACTGAAGAGCAGCTATTTATTATACCAGCTACACACAAATATGTAACTATTTAGAAGGAATAAAAAAAGGTCATTTCCAGCTTAGGTGTTGTGGGTGACCATTGCCTTGAAACAGGGAACAATCTGTATGCAACCACATGTCACTAAGCACTTAAATGTGTGAAGAGATGCCAGAACCATTTAAAGCTTTTCCTCTTCACTAAACACCATTTTAACTAAAAATACTTACTATGGGGACAGGCTTCACATATGAATATTGTGATTTTTAAATGCTGTCTGTATTTAGAGTCTCTTTAGAGAGACACATGTACCACCTGTATGTGCAGAAAGAAATGGAGTAGACATGACGTTAAAGCCCACCAGCTGAAGAGTCCTTGGTGCAGGAAAAAAAACTGTGGGTAGCTTCAGTATCACTCAGGTTTTTTGCTATTTCTGTTTGCAAATGGTTTCATGGCCTGTTCCATGGAAGTAAATTTCCAACCATAAATGAAACTTTACAGGCAGAGATCCCCAGCAGGTACCCATCATGGAGAATTCCTTCTTATGACCTTCCATCTGTAGGGCTGAATTTATCTTTGATGTAACACCACTGCTGTTAATACTACATGAAGGATCACTTTCCCACATGTCATTTTTTTCATTTTTTAAAGCCAAGGAGGCCAGGTCAACCACTCTGAAAGAGTAAACCACATTATTTCTATTTCCACCTGCAATTTAGGCCAACTATTTAGTTCCACTATCCCTAATAGTGGGTTAGGTTTTATGGTCAATGCAGGATGATATTCTAGTGAAGAATGCTGGCACTAAAATAGTCACAACCAGTTCAAAACTGGATTCAGATTACCTACCTTAGTGTGGAGTACTGGAGATTAAAGGTACCCAGAACCCACCCAGCCTGAGGATATTGATTGATTAGGAAGCAGGAGGTGGTGATGGCCTGTGTATTGCCCACAGCACTTCAGATGTATCTTTTCTAAGGGGGTTAATGATGATCAACAGTTCTCATCCCTCACAGATAGCTGGTAGCTGTGTAGAGCTGTGTTACAGGCTAGGTTTCAGACACGGTACACAATACTGCCCTTAATGTCCTGAGAGCTACCATTTCTGAGTTAGTCAGAGGCTGGGGTGCAGTAAATCCAGAACTGTCCCTCCTGTGATATATATTCCCTTTACTTTCCATCCTGTGTGCCTGACCTTCATGCCCACAGAACTGCTTTTGAAAAGCAGTGCAAGGGTCCATGGCTTCCATGCTCCATTTTACATGGGACATGATTTATGAGTAGAAATCTTTTAAAACAGAATTTCAGGTGCATTTCCTTCACCAACAGGTTGGCAAACATCTTATAAATCACAATTCAAGTGCCAAATTCCCTGCCAGTGATCAACAAATTTTATCAAGCTTTTATAGCCTTCAAAAGCAAATTCCACAGAACATGTTCTCATTATAACTTGCTATTAGAAAATATCATTAAATTAGCAGTATTTTCTACAATGCCATGTACACAAACCATCTATAATACCTGCAAATAAATTATATCTTCTTCTGATCTAAAAATACATATTCCTTATTATATTCTTGGAAGAATGGAGAAAAGTTACTTAGTTACAAGAACACCATAAATCCTGTGCACCATGTAAACTGTCTCATTTTATCTACTTTCTTCACATCTGTGCAAATAAAGCCATTGTTACAAGCACAAAGAGCTGCGGCATACAATACATGCAGCTATGAAACCATGAGTGCTGCTACGTGTTGAGTCTTTAAATGGAAGTGGCACATCTGCTTTTGGCATAGGAGAGTAAATCAATCCAAGATGTTTATTAAAGAGTCAGTAACAACCTGTCCACACGCTCTTTCTTCCATCCAGCCCTGGGTTTGTTCTTGCTTTGTTATTTTCCTGGCAGTTAAACATGGGCTCTGCACACTGAAAGTATGTGGTGTTTCTTCACGTACGGATAGCATAACATGTCATGTAATATTGAACAAGTATGTGATGTGGAGTGGTTTGGACAAAAATGTGAGCCAAAATGAGGTGGGGAGGAAAGGGTAAGTACAAACAGCTACAGAACAGTGACTGAAAGGTTTGTTGCTCTGCAATAAGGCAACTGTGTTTCCTAATACCTTTTGAATTAATGAGACCTAGATTTGATTTCATGTTCCAGCTCTTGGCAATTAATGAGCAATATTTGCAATAGTGAAGGATGGTGAATATTTTCTTAGGAAAGTCAACAACTGACTTTGCATTTGCTGAAGGTATTTATACCACTGGGTCTACCTGAGTAGGAGTACAGGCCTTTCAGCTCTTACATGGATTGACCAGCAGGAAAGTCAACGTAATATTGGCACTGGCCAATACTGACACTGCAAACTGGCCCTTTTTGTGAGCAATTGCTGGTGTATTCAGCACAACCTTTAACATGTTCCTTTTCCACAGACTGAGGAGCTCTAGGGTTTGCTGTAGAACAGAAGTCCAAGGACAACAATACCTTTTGTGGGCAGCCTCCTTGTTGGGCTACCTGCACGAAGCAGCACATAAAAGACTGGACCTCAGGATGAAGGCAATAGCTCTGGGTTTGACAGCAGAGCCTGGGCCATGCAGTGCTCCTTCCCCTTCCACCAAAGAATGCACAGGAAAGCGTCCTAGGAAAGGGAATCATCAACAGCTAGGCAGGAGGAGCAACCCATTCTGTGTCCCAGCGAAGGACCTACTTTGTAGCGTGTCTGAGTAACTAGAAGTATAAAGATGGATGTTTTATTCTTGGCTTCCATGTGGGGAGATTATAAAGTGATGCTGTTCTTCAAAAGCATTGAAGGAAACAAGACATGTCCTGACAGATACTAAAGGGAGGCTCATCTATTGGAAAGGCAATATCTCTTTCGTATGATGGCAGTGGAAAACCACTGTTTTAAGAGATAAGATTGAAAAACACTGATGGCAAATGGTTCAGGAAGGCTTGTTGTTCAGAAGAGGGAATAGAGGCTGCTGGAAGTGTGCCACCCAGTGTTTTGTACTTGCACATTTAATTGCCTAGACTGAACAAACATCTTCTGTAACTGTTCATTTCTTCTTTGTTAAAATGGTCAGGATATATTAAAAGGCTGAACTCCACATGAACATTTCAGTGATAATGTTACCTATCAGCTCTGTCCCAAAAGTGTCTAAGATTGCTGTAAATTTGTTAATTGGGTGTCTTTTCAGCTGTAGCTGAATTCAGCTGCATGAGTGACCCAGGCAGATTTGCTCAGCAATACAGAACATACCAGGACAGAATTTATACAGTGATTTCCACTGCAGGCTAGAATTATCTTGATCAGACTTGTTACAGTATCTTGTTAAAATATTTTAGCCAGGGGAAAAAATATTAATTAAATTAAATCAAAATACTCAGGTAGCCCAGAAAAGTTAAAAAAGGAAAAGAGAAAGTAATGCTTTCTCCCATTTATTCCACCCACTCCTAAGTTTCTCCTTTTAATTTTATTTTATTTTATTCCATATGCCTGATAATGGGACTTTGTGGAACCGAACCTTTTGCAAGACACTGCCAGCTCTTGGAGAATATCTCAGACAGGTCTCTTCATTTCCATTTCATTTTGTCATTCTATGGCTGAAAGATTGTTATTTAAATGAATGCTTTCGAGCTCCAATTTTTTAAATGCAAATGTGTGCTGCTTCCCTATTGAACTGAAACCATCAATACTTCTTTTTCCCTACGAAGAGCAGGATAGAAAGTAATATTCTCAGGGCTGAAGGTGAGTTGGGATGTTACTTTTGTGTGAATTTAAGCTAAAAAAGGCTAATATGTACAATGGTGAAGTATCAAAATATTGGCTCAATCTTCCTTCTCTCCAGGATATGATTAAAGCAGTTCTGTATATTTTAAAGAACAGCTGATGCAGGGAAGGTGCCAAGACACAGCAGACCAGTCACACTCCCTCAAGGCATTCTGTATAAGCTGCTTAGGGGAGTGCACACAGAAGTGAGACACTACTTGCCTCCAGCAATCTTATGGTGCTCTATACCATCCTTGCTTTTGAAAGTTGTGAAGCATTTTAATTAGAAAGTAGGTGTCCTCCCATTTTTAATTTTTTGGAAGCTGTATTCTAGGAACCATTGTCTGAACTTACAGGACATCTTAAAGGGAGTATCCTTGGCTTCCTTTAGAGTATACTGCATGCCTGTCTTCAGGCTATTCTTTTAGCTATAATGTCTAGAAATGTAGGGCTTTTTTTAAATCTGTGAATGTGGAAGTTCTCCAGTAATCACATGCCTCCTCGAGCAGGAGCTTTCTGCTCATCAAATATTGCATGATATGAAAAATACCACATCCCATGCCCCCAGCATCAAAAGGGTTGGCAACACCTGAGTTGCATCCATCCGTGATCTCTGCCTGCCAGACCAAGAGGCATGTGATGCTGAAGCACGTGGATTTTCTTGCCTCTTCTACCATTGGACAAGCACTCATCTTGCAGCAAAAAAATGCCACAGTCCATGCCCAGTAACACCCATGCCAGCAGTATGAGCAAACAGACTTCAGAGACTGAGCTCCCCTTTTAATCACAGAAGTTGTTGTTTTCTCTCAGTGTCAGTGGTTGTTGTTTCAGCCCAGGCTTTTATATATATATTATTCCTGGACTAACGAAAGCTTGAAGTGCTGCTTGCCCTGCAATACCAAATTTATGGATGAGGAGACAACTTCAGCTTGCCAGGTGATAATTTGGCACCCTTATGTCAGTGTTAAAATCCCTCCAGCTGTAAATATTTATTTGATATTAAATATACTCCAGCTAACACATTGTCATATGAATAAATCTAACCTTAAATAAAACATGTGCTCTCCATCTTTTATTCAGTTTATAAAATTCTTGATTCTTGCTCTGTGCATTCTCAGCTTATTACTTAGAAAAGCTTGTTTTCTTTTCTAATACAACATTCTGCTTCTTGTATTTCACCTCTTACAGCTTTTGCAAAGTTTTGGTTTGATAGGACAAGCACAGTGAGGGCATTAGGACCAAGAGAAAGACGCACACATTGCTCTGTATTATGTCTGGCAAAGTGCTTCCTGACTGAGTGCTGTAGTTATGTGTGAAACAAAGTCAGGGACTACTTCTCATCTGTTGATCACAGTTAACTTGAAGCCTCGGAACGGGGGAGAGCTGTCAGATCTGCTTTCAGAGATACAGTGCTTCAATCCAGGCAGCAACTGGAAACTTTGAAGAAGCAGGATCTACTCTGGAAGGAAACTATGAGAAACGGGACTTCTTTCAACTTAGAATTTTAAAAGGGGAAAAAAAACAAATCAAAGTTTTAGCTACTCTTTCAGCAAAGCATGCACTTTCCTAGCTAAGCTGTGACTCCGTGTAATAAAGGATCTACTTTATCTCACTGGATCCATGCTACATTTTACTACAGTAAGTACAATATTAATAGGAATGTTATAATTTTTTTTTTCTGTAAACAGAGAGGAAAGTATGAAATGGCACCAGTGAAATGTGAAGGGAGCAAAAAAATCCTCTTGGCAGATAGTGACAACCAGGGCTTTTGTGCAACCCGAGGACTGAAATCTGAGGAAGATTCAAGTGATATTTAACATGACCATCTGTATAATTTTGTCACCAACAGTATGTTCTTGAGGAAGAAGTGCAGATATGGATCACGTAAGCTGCAGTTTCTCTTGTTGTTTCTGATGCTGGGTTTTTTGCTACTGATGGTTACAACGCTGAATCCACCTCCCAGCAACCAGAGCAAGGAAGGGACTTTCCAGCCTGTGGAGTTCAACCCCCGGGAAGGGTATCAGATGGACTTTGTGGAGACCCAAGAGATGCTGGAAACCCAGGAGGAGAGCCAGCAGTATTACCCTTTGGATGGTCTGTCGCCTTTCATCTCCCTGCGGGAGGACGAGCTGATCATGGCCGTCGTGTCGCCCACCGGCAAAAGGAACCACAGCAAGGCCAGGAAGGGCTATCGCGTGGTGAAGCAGCAGAGCCGGCGGCCGGAGGGGAAGGCAGAGGGGGGGCCGGAGTCGCGGCCGCTGCCCCTTCCCCTGCAGGACGGGCAAGCGGCTGCCGCGGGGGAGCGGCCGCTCGGCCTGGAGGCGCACGGCTTTAACGCGCTGCTCAGCGAGCGGATCGCGCTGCGCCGGGACCTGCCTGAGGTACGGCACCCGTTGTAAGTAAAACACCCTATTTCACTTCTGGGGGATACCTGCCTCCTTCCCGCCGCCGCGTCCCCCCGAACCTCTCCTCCTGCAAACCCCGCACCTCTCTGCCTCTAGACCTCGCGTCTTTCCTATAGAACTCCCCGTCCGGGTCGGGCGCTCCGCTCCTCAGACCGGGCACGCTCCCAGCCTCCTTCGGGAGGTGGTTCGAGCCCTCAGAGCCGGCGGGCGGCAAAGGCGGAGGGGGGCACGGCGCGGGAGGGGCAGCTGGGGCTCGCTGGGTGCGCGGAGCAGCGGCGCGGAGCACAGCGCCCGTGAGGGCGGCGGCAGCGCTGCCGCGGCACCCCGGCCCGGCCCGGCCCGGCTCCGCGCCCTGAGGCCGAGCGGGCGGCAGCGCCCCCTACCGGCGCCCGCGTCACGGCAGGTGCCGGGCGAGGCAGGGCAGGGAGCGCCCCGGGCCCGCCCTTCTCCGAAGTCCGTCCGTCCGTCCGTCCGTCCGTCTGTCTGTCTGTCGTCCGTCCGTTCCCCCGCCCGCCCGCCTGCTGGGCTGCCGAGGGGGAGGGAACCCGCGCCGGACTGGCGAGCAGGACTGGCGGCTTCCCTCCTCGGCCAGGCCCACCTGCCACAGCTATAGTGTCACTGGGCTTACCAAGTGATGAATGAGTGAAGACTTGGGGCTTTCAGCTCTTCCAGAGCAAAAGTGGCCCGGTGGTCACTCATAAATGTGGAGCCGGCTCTGCACTGGTGTGGCCTCACTTTAAATAAATATCGTGTGCAGTTTTGGGCACCACAATATAAGAAAGCTATAAAGCTATTGAAGAGTGTCCAGAGGAGGACAACAAAGATTGCAGTGGGTCTGGAGGAGAAGCCAAGTGAAGAGGAGCTGAGGTCACTTGGCTTGTTCAGCCTGGAGAAGAGGGGACACCTCATTGCTGTCTACAGGTTCCTCACAAGGGGAGGAGGAGGGGCAGGCATCGATCTCTTCTCTGTGGTGTCCAAGACAGGACCCGAGGGAATGACCTGCAGTTGTGTCAGGGGGGGTTTAGGCTGAATATTAGGTAAAATTCTTCACCCTCTGGGTGGTTGGGCACTGGAACAGCTCCCCAGGGAAGTGGTCATGGCGCTAAGCCTGACAGTTCAAGGAGAGTTTGGACAATGCTCTCAGGCAAATGATGTGACAATTAGGGTGTCCTGGGCAGGACCAGGAGTTGGACTCAATGATCTTTGTGGGTCCTTCCAACTCAGAATATCCTGTGATTCTGTGGCAAGTATTGAAAGAAAACTCCTGGCAGAAAGGAAGGTGGAGATTGGTGTGTCAGACAAGCTCTGCCAACGCCACCATATCTGTTAGCAGCCAGGCTTAAGGCCACTGTGAAAAAATGTTGCATTTGAAGGCCCAGGTGTTACATTTGGAGTTTGGAGACTTGAGAGCCAGTTGCCCCAGTAGCCCAGGAGGGGCTGCTCATCACACTTCTTAAAAAGTATCTGAGGTGTATCTACTATCAAGCTGTTCCAGGGAAAGTTCGGGCTGTACATTCTTTTCAAAGAAAGGGCAATTAAACATTGGAATTAAATGTCCAGGGAGGTGTGGAGTCACTGAACCTGGAAGTGTTTAAGGAAAGACTGGACATGGACATAGTGCTGTGGTCTCGTTGAGAAGGTGATGATCAGTCAAAGACTGGACTTGATGATCTCAGAGGTCTTTTCCAACCTAATGGATTCTATTATATGCTTCCCTTCTCAGGGGGAGGGCAAGGGTTGTGTGGTGTCTTGTCTCCTGTAACAAAAACAATTGTAGCTTTCTCCCAGGACACGGCAGAAAGATGTAATGGAAAACATTTTAAATCAGACACAGAATGATTTTTTTTCTAGTGTTCATTTCCACATGTTTGAAGACAGCTGGCAGTCTTTAAGGGTACAGTCTCAAAGAAAGAGACATGAAAGAGTGTTTTCTGTACTTATTGACTAGGTTCAGTGTTAATTTGGTTAACTCCATTAAATAATGACATGGTGATATTATTTCAGTTATTTTTTTCACTGCTAACTCTTCAAACTATGTAACATTCAAAGAAGGAATGACTACCCTGGTTTACTGCCTTTGGTTGAAAACCAAAAATCAGTTTTACCTTGGCAGCTGAAGGGCCATCCAACAAGCTTTAGTTAATTCTGATCTTGGTAACATTTAAGCCATGGTCTCAGAGCTCCTGGGTGGATTTTGCTGTCTCACTAGTTACAGCCTAAAGAGTTATCAACACCACAGCTTACAGAGTCCAGAAACCCCAGATGTCAGCATCTGAGGCTGATTTAAATCCAGATCATAAACCTGGAGCAGAATACATCTAAGCCAGACCTGTCCCTTATGGTACAACACACAAACCACAATGATGATTTTTAGGTGTAGTTTACCCTGGGGACCTGGCTCACAACTGTGTCAGTCCAGTTTTACAGCAGTGTAAAAAGAGAGCAAACCAGAATCAGATTGTCTATGTCTCTATTCGTTTTGCATCTTGTTCTTCAGCACAATGTCTATTATTATTGAATTAGAGAGAAGCCAACCAATTAGAGATGTTTCAGTGAGTTACCTCCAGGGACTCAGTCTCCCTCATGTCACCTGAAATTGGATGGCAAATAAGTCACCTAAGAAGTGGCCCATCCTCTGAGGTACCTTCATCCCTCAAAGTGCTTTCTGATGCTGTCAGCTGCTCCAGCTGGGACTGACACTCTCCTGGGGCACCTGAATCAAGCCTGCCATTGTGACTTTTATGATGGGGGTTCTGCTCAAAAGAAAGGTCTGTTTTCCTCTCTTGGGTTTGCGCGTCAAATAGCAAAAGAAACTCACAATGTATCTACAAAAGTTTTAAGTTTCATTACCAAAGTATAGCTTCCTCTGGAGTGCTGTTTGGAGCTGAATCTCTATTAAACATTTACCTGAAGGTGAGTGGGAGTCCGTATCAGCTCTGCCTTTGCCTTGTCAGAATTGCTCTCTGTTCATTGCTGCATGTGACAATTCCTTGTTTTTCACAAATTACATTAAATCTCTATGTCTCATATCAGTCACAGCCCTGACTTTCTGAAATGCCAATTTATGATAGACAGGCTATGAAACTGCTCCAAATTACAAGGAAGGTATTTTTGTATGCCAGTACCCTTGTGCATTTTTGTGAAGATTAGATATCTATATTGCAAGTCTTTGCCAATCTCCATGGCAACTAAGCACTCGCCTCCAAGGTTATGTGTTCATCTTTTCCAATTAAGATTTCACAACAGTCTTATTTTCTTGCTATAACCACAGTACTAGCAACTAGGTGCTAATAGCTATAGAATGTTTCTGGTTAGAAGCTGCCTGGTAGTAAAAGAACTGCATCAAATCTTCACTTTTCTTAATTATTTCTCAATTCTACTGCTTGAAAATATTCACTCTCATGTCGTGAGAATATTCTTTTCTTGATCCTGATGAAAACGGAAACAATCACCTATATGAAATTGTGAGGCAATTGTGAGTATTGTTGATTATACAAAATTAGTAAACCAAGGACAATACAGATTAATTAGAGTGTAAAAATAATCAAGAAAATTTTCCTTTCTATGCAAAAAAAATAATGTTAAATATTGAAAAATACAATAAATTTTTAAGATTGTGCTAATTTTAGATATATATTCCCAGAAGTGCATCTGTAGTAACCATTTATGTGTATTAATCATTCAGACTATGGAGTCTCTTAAGTGATTAGCAGCTTTGTGTCTGGATAGTGTCTAGCAGCATAGAACCTCAATCCATGAACAGAAGCACTAGGTAAAACACTAATAAACAGAAATACTGAAATTATATCCCTTACATTAATTTCTGCTGAGTACCCAATTGTTTAACAACCACTGTAAAATCTGTATAATTATTTGCTTGGCAATCCAAAAATGCTGAAATAACAATGGACTACATTCAGCCAATTGTGTAATTCCTTGAAGAAATCTTGCTGGTGGAGATTAAATTAGTTAGGACATTGAATGACTGTTATTTGGGAAATAAAAAGATTTTTTAAATGTGCTTTCTAATGTCAGCAAAGCAGTGTATAGACATAGTCTTTGCATATCTACAATGGGCATTTGAAGGCATTTTCTGGAAAAAGTGCACCCTCACACCAGAATAAATGGTTTTCATATTCAGTTTCTATGAGGATGAATAGGAAGTGTTTGTCATGTTTAAATGTTTGAGTTATTGTGGTGGTTTAACACCAGCTGGGAATTAAATTTTCCCCTGTTCCCCTCTGATGAGGGAGGGACAAAGGAGGGACTGTGGGTTGAGGTAACAATTTACTGAAAGCAAACAGCGATGGAGTAAGAAACACACAGTGACATCAGCAATGCTAATAACAAAAGTATACAAAAAGAGCAGGTGCTTTACACACAAAAGGCATTCACCACCTTGCCTTAGCTCTGCATGGCCACTGAGACAAAGACAAGGTGGCAGGGGGATGTTCCTGTGTCTCGGCAATGGCAGTGGTTATTCCAGAGACAAAGACAAGATGCCAGGGGGATGTTCCTGTGGCTTGGCAGTGTATTGCAGTTATTCCCGAGACCAAGACAAGATGGTGGGCCCTCTCATTACCCAGTGCCACATGGCCTCCTGAGACAAAGACAAGAAGGCAGACTCTCCCTGCAGGCAGTGTTCCCCAAGCCCAAGACAATGAAAAACAATGACAGAACAAACCCCCAAAACTGGATTGTTCACATTGCACCATGCCACCCACTCCCAGACTGCTCTGCTGGTTCAATTGCACACTGACTCCCAGCTGGGAGTCTCATTCAGCAGTGATTAAATTTTATTGGAAAAGCAATCTGTACAAACCTTATAGTGAAAATACATTTTCTTTCTTAATTGTATTTGTTATCATGGCCCATATAGGGATCCATGTCATTACCGTAAAGGACTGAGATACTGGCTTCATTCACTAGGATCTTGGTCAGGTAATCCACAGGTACACTGATGTGTTGTGCAGATGAGTTATTTCATTTTTTAGTCTTAATGGTACTGCAGTTGTTTGCTTTTTTCTCTCTTACTTGTGGAGTGTGGAAATTAGTGGAAACTGGCTGATCTGTTTTATCCCTTACTCTACTCTAATTATCTTCACTTTTTCTTTATGTTCTGGACTGTTTCTGTTCGAGGTCTGGTTTCTGAGGCAGACAGAACAGGAAAAAAACTATCCCAGAACACAGGAACATTTTCCTCTTTTTGTATTATAGTTTTGATAGTGGCATTCCCATATTTTCACTTCATATTCCAGTTTTGGACACCTTAGTACTTCCTTTTCTTAGAAATGAGTTGAGATCTTAAACCGCTCTCCACCCCTGAAGATTTAGGTGCTGCTTGCAACTTTGCTCTGAGAAAAAAAATTAGCCATTTGTTCCAGTGTTTCCAGTGTCTTCCTCATTTCACCCATTCAGGTGCCTACAGCAAAAATATGACTCCAGTCTGCCTACTGCTAGTGTCATCATCTGTTTCCATGATGAAGCCTGGTCTACTCTGCTGAGAACTGTGCACAGCATTATGGATACAGCCCCAAAGGCCTTCCTCAAGGATATCATCCTAGTCGACGATCTCAGCCAGCAAGGTAGCTCCCATTTCTCTGTGTGTGAGTTATTTTTCCAAAACTCTGGGGAAGAAACTGTCCTCCTCCAAGAATTGTGTGAGGAGAGGAGAAGGCAAAGAAGGACTCTCAGGAAGTGAGCTAAGCACAGCCGAGAGCCCAGGTTTCACTATCCATCCCTAGAATTTAGTGTAGCCTTTTGACTTTGAAATACGTTTCTGCTTTTCCCCCACATCATTTACAACCACTCTGAACTTTCTTACTTTAAAATAAGATCACAGTATGCAAATCTTAGGATTCCCACTGGACCAGATCTGCTGTCATAATTTCCAGACTTGGATTTTGGCTGAAGCATAGAGTGGAAAAGTCCACATTGCTGAAGTAATCTAAAGTGCTTGGGAAAGCCAAACACCTGTAGTATCTCACTCTCATCTGTGTATTTTATGAGATGATGAGAGCATCCACCTTTTGCTGAAAACAGGAAAGGAGGCTATTAAGATTCCCACAGGAACAGCTTCATAACTTGTGAATCTCAGTTTCCATTAGTCTCCACTTCCCTTTGACATTATACTGCTGTAGAAATATTTGAAATGTGGCCTACTTGGCCATTTAAAACAAATGCCCCTGAAACATTTTGCCAGCAAGAAGTAGCATCTCCTACTACGTGTTTCTTTTCTATAACAGCTTGAATCAAAGCTAAAACATTTCAGTGACTGTTCCATTTCTGACAGGGTCCCTGAAGTCAGCTCTGAGTGAATACATCTCTAAGCTGGATGGTGTGAAGCTCATCCGGAGCAACAAGAGGCTTGGAGTCATCCGAGGTCGGATGCTAGGAGCTGCACGGGCTACCGGGGATGTGCTCATCTTCATGGATTCCCACTGCGAGTGTCAGAAGGGCTGGCTGGAACCCCTCCTGGCCAGGCTCTCCAGCAGCCGGTAAATATCCCTGGGTATACTCATTTCTGCTGAAAGGGACGTGTTTGGAAAGTGTTGGGTAGTTTTTGTAATCCTGCCTTGGTTATCTTCTTGCTTCTGGTCACATCTCTTTTATTTTCTACTTTATCAGTCTATGCATTACTCGGATATGTGGGAAGCAGGATAGATCACAGCTGATGACCCTCACTTTACACCCAGTGTAAATTTTAGAATTTGTATCCAGTTAGAGCTTAGAAACTTTAGAAGGCTTCCTGGTGGTCTGAATTAAAAGAGGCTTCAGTCTCAACCTGTTTGTGAGTCGGCAAACATCCACCAGAGAAGACTACTGCAAGACTCCATTGGTTTTACTTTTTAGCTGTCTCAGTGATGGAGCCAAGAATAAAATGCTTTGTCCTTCTGAGCCAGTTTGGCTGTGTACCTACGTCACCTTTTGGCCACCATTTCTCTTCCACAGAAAAAGCTCAGACTTGCAGGGCAATCTAGGCAGGTCCAGCTAATCACAGGTTCTTTCACTGACCCCAAAGTAACAGAGTAAGGTAGAGATTCATATTTCTGAGTATTTAATATTTAGGGTGGTTCTTAGGCCTGCTTTCTAATGTACAGCTGAGCTCATCTATGCAGTCCTTTGAAGATATTAAAACTACTGGAAATGTTTCTAGGCTTACATGTCAGTAAATCTGTAATTAAAGGAACTTTTTTGAAAGAAAAATTTGTACATTAACTTGTCACTTGGAAAAAGAATTGCTATACAAGGTAAAAAAAAAAAGACCTTTAAACTCTTACTAGACTGTTAAATAGTCATGCTAAGACCTTTAAAGGCTGTTCTCAGGCACTGGAAGAAGCTGGTTTTATGGCTTATTATGTTTGCTTACAAGAAAATTAATGTGAACTTTTAGAAAGTATTACATCATTTGAATGAAAACATTAAGAATACTGAAAGCAAGAGTAATGCTGTCCTAGAGTGGCAGGAATATTCTTTTCAAAAAGGTTCTCCTTGGAAAAGCAGATTATTTTTTGTTTGCTGACAAATTAGATGGTTTTCTATGAATATACTTCATGATTCTTCTGCCTTGACCTATAGTCTATTTTTGACGTTCAAGCAAAACTACTGTGTGTATCTATTGGCCAGTCCTTATTCAAGGGTGTTGAAATTGCTGAAATTAAAATCTACAAAGAGTCTCGGAGGAGAGCTGTAGTGAAGGTACAACAGCAAGAGAGAAGTTAGGACCCCACAATATCAAAAATTCACTGTCAAAAATTATCCCTCCTGAGAGAATGCAAAGCCTCCAAGTCTGCTATCATTCAGAGAGTCTGTAGCACTGTCACCAGGAAGTGAGAAGGGAATTCTCTTCCCTTATAGGGCCCATATGCTCATTCACTACCCCAGGAGAGCAGACTTTAACAATGAATTAACTAATATCTAATTGGATTAATGAAGCAAAAGTGGAAAACTGATTGGATAATAGTATGGGTTAAGCCATCTCTTTCAGTGTGCTTTATCAGTCACTGTGTCTGACCTTGGAAGCTTTGTCACTGCTAGTGAGGAGACATCCTCCATTGAGGAGGGAAGATAAGGTCTAAGGCACCTGGCAGTCACCTTCCCTTACTGTCCCTCTTTCTCCAGCTGAAGAATGGTGACAATTACACTGACTTGATAAGGAAATTAATTCATGACTTTTCGTAAATTGCTTGTAATGCTTGCCTGGAGATCACCATGGAAATGGTAAATCATTAGCATAGTCAACTTGGCTTCATTTAACACTTGAGGAGCTGTTAAATTGAATCATGTGCACTGCCTGAGACTACCCAAGTGAGGAAAGCACAGGAAGTTGAGAGTGACTGGTGAAATATCCATCTTTCCTCTTCTTAATGTACCGATCAAACTGTAACTCGTGCACTCTTGCTGGAGGGACAGGATGGGAAAACAATCACCTGGAGTGAGTGAGTTGTTTACTGGCAAGGACCAATGCAGCGTTTCAAAGCTCAAACCTTTGCAGGTGCTTAAGGGAGCTATAGAGTGGTTTTAACTTTAAAAATGGTCATTAAGCCTAATTTCTAGACTCCTGATCCAAGTGTGTCACTATTATTGCAATCTGTTTTAAGAGTGATGCTGAGAGATCCTTGCCCAGATTGAGATTTCACTGTGAGTTGAACATACTCACAATAAGAGAGATACTCACAGTTTTTAGTAGACTGTAGGATTAATATAAGAAAAATTATCCCAGTTTTACGGGTATAGAAATATTTATACAGAAATACTTGGCAGATATTTGACTTGTTCTAGGTAATGACATTTCATCTCCCTACCTGATGGCTTTATTCACTAACCCAATCTAATTTATTTTTTCTGAAAAAAAAGTATTAAGTAATTCCAAAATCTTTGAATATACACTTTTTGAGCGCCTTGACTGGGACTAGTTCTGTGAACCATGGCTAATAAAATGACTGGGGACCTGTGAATCAGCTTAGTATATTGCCTAAAGAATGGTTCAGTGGTTTCTAAAGCATTCCTTGACATTTTGATTATTCAAGGACGAATACCATAGGTACCTGGACAATATTAGAAAACTACATGAGATACCACACAGATCATTTTATTTTACAACTGTTTGTAAACTGTTTGTGTTCCAGGCTAATTCCAGGTGAGTAGCATGGTGCACAGCAATGCAGCTGTGCCATTATTACAGTCATCTTTGGAAGGGTTTGCCTTTTCCAGGTGACTGCAGAGCTATTTCATATTCTGTCCAAAGGCAGGAAAAGGCAGAGGGGGCATATAATGAACTGTGCCATGAAGCCTTAAAAATGTTGTTCCTTTGATCTAAAAGCAATGGCCACCATGCTGAAACAGGCTAATTAAAAAAAAAAAAACTCCAAAACTTATTTCCTGAAAATACTTCATGAAAGCAAAATGAACCTTGATGATATCCTTGACAAGAAGCTCCACCTGTAAAAGAGGCGTGGGCACCATTGCTATCGACAGAGGGGTGGTTTGCAAAGAGGTAGCTGGACCTTAGGACCTTTCCCCTGCTCCTCATTGCAAAGGCTGTTTCTCTCTGTGCAGGAGCACTGCCTATATCACAGCTCAAATATTAGATTAGGAAACAGAAACCTGTTACATTATTTTAAAAAGCTTATCTGGTTTCTAAAATTCAAAGTGCCTTCACTTAGTACTATGATTCTACATCACTAATCTTTAATGAAAATGCTGATTTACAGAATAAGAAGTTAGCATAGCAGTGGAAAGGTGTTTCATCATCTGTGTGCTCCCACTGGGAATAAATGGAAGCCTCTGCTTGTAGATACAGGAGTAGAAAGAATTCTGCTGTCCAGAAAATGTATGTGTGGTTCTGGTTTTATGTTAATACACAAGAGAGAAAGGAAATATTTTGCACTAAAGATGAACAGCTTCTTCATCTCTTTTATTCTGATTCCCCACTTTTCAGTGGCCCATATCCCAGCTTTTTGAGCTACCAAATACATAATCCATCTGTTTTACTTCTCACAGTCTTGGGGAAGCATGATTGCTATCCATTCAGAGGCCACACAACCTCAGCATCTGAGCATGCAATTCCATGCTGTTCATCCTGTTTTGAAAGCTTTCTATACACTTCACATGTAACAGCCTACTTCCTGGGATTTCTGTGCTCGATCGTTTTTATATCTCCCATTTGTCAATAACACTCATTTCAAATTCAGTAAATGTTCTGCATTTACATGGTAGGTTATGGGAAGATAAGCTACCTCTTTACAACCTTTCACAGGGAAAATCTTGGAGTAAACAACTCAGGACTGAACCATTAGGGAAGCCAAATGGTGTACATGGAATGAATCATTACAAACTTATAACAGGGAATATTTAAAACCTACTACAGAAGAACAAACTGCAAAACAACAGACTACCACATCCATCCATTCAAGTAGACTGTTCCTATGCCCTAAGTTAGTCTGGAGTTGGTCTGTAAGGCAGTATTTAAGTAATCCTTTATAACATTCCTTATCACTGCATTTTATCTTCTTATTAACCCTACCTAATTTCAAGTGGTCTGTATTTCTAAGACTGCAGTTAGCCAGCAAGGTGCTCTCAATGGAAATGCAGCATTTTGTGGAACCAACTTGGATCCTCAGTTACTCACTGAAATTTTGACTGTGTGCAGAAACAGAGGGACTGCCTGGATTTCTTAGCTATCTAATTTTTGCAAGCTGTGATGCACCCTGAAATAGGTTGAGGAATATACATAATTTTCATGTTTGTTTTTTTTGGGTTTCTTTTTCTCCGTATTTAAAGGAGGACTTAAACATATTAAGATCTATACCCTTCCCAGCAAAACAAAGTATAAATCAATACAAAAGTACTTTCAAAGAAAAAAAGTGTATCCAAAACTTCAAAACGGATACATTAATTAAATTTTTATCTTCTTGTATTACTTAGTTTAAAATTTAAAAAAGAACATAATGTCCATGCTGACTCTAAAGGGTCATGGGAAGATATTTCATTAGCAATTGTATTTGGTAAGAAATCCCAAACCAGGAAATTGTTCTTGTTTGGGTTGCTCTTTTTCATGGAATTGTGACCTTTTGTAATTTGTGTGAGTTCCAAGCATTTGAAATATTCACAGATTAGTCAAACAGTTCAAAGCCTTGCTGCTAGTTGCATTTGAATTTCCTGTTTTTCCCTTTCCTCAGATTCCACAGAGTAAAATTAGCAGTAGTTTGTGTTTCATTTCAAAGTGCCGAGAAGTTGCTGTCTGCCAGTTACTCAGTTAAAAACAAGAATAGCTAAGAACATCTTCCAATTATCATCTACTGCAAATTTGCATTTAGAACTACACAAATGTCAAGCCATCATTGAATATGCAGAAACAGCTATTTATTTTTAAATCTTACCAACAAAAAGTGGGTAAAGCACTGCTTGTTTAGGATTAAAATTGAATATTGACCAATTTTCACACAAGATAAAGTTACTAGATTCTTCTATTTCAGATCACAAAGACACTCCCAATACTTAGTTTTAAGAAGTTGTGTTTCTGTTGGTTTCAGCAGGGCTACATTGTGACTATAGTACCCTTACACCAGGTAAAGGTCTAGAATTACTCTTACAAACATACTCTCGAAAATTGGCATTCTGAAAAAGCTACGCGAGTAGTAGCTCTAAAACACAGTTATCAGTTTTTACTGTATAATTTTGTGGGGAAGTTGATCAGATTTTATTTTGTTGTGGTTTATGGTTGAATTTAGCCAGGATAAAACATGGCCTATTCCTGCAAGTTATTTTCAATTTAAACACTGTAATTTTCCATGTCATAATTTGCAGATAGTTTGGATAATTGCTTGGTCTCCAACTATCAGAATCCATTATGTCCTTACTGGTATATTTCTTGAATTGAAATATTGAAGAATCTGTGCCCAATAACTAGAACTACTACTGTGGTGCCTACTCTTGTGAGCAATTACACTCATGCCAGAAGGACCACTGGAGTTTGGAGTTTTATAGTGGCAACAAATTCAAGGTGGATTAAAAAAAAAAAAAACAAAACAGATTTCAAATAGTTACAATGATATGAAAATGTAGGATAATCTGAGATGTTTGTATCATCTGATCCAGAATATATCTGAGTGTGCCTGTATTTGCATTGTTTCTATCTGAGTTATCCAGGATCACTTCATGTGGTCTAGTTTGCGTGGTCAAGGTCTTTTGAGAAGTTTAGTCTACATTGCCTCTGGTTTCTACTCAAATACGCCCTCCTGATATTTCCGTTTTGAATCTGAAATAATAAAATAAACTACCCTGGGGTCATTAATTCCTCAGTCCTGTCTGAATGAGAATGGATAAACCAGTAGCAATAGATAGTGTGGGTTTCGGCAAGCAGGAGCAAACTGAGGTGGGAACTATGCAGCTGCATCTGCACTCCCAACCAAGCAGTTGTCAGAAATATTTGTACACTGGAGAATGCAGCAGGCTTTAGAAATTACTGTTACTTTTCATTTTTGACCTTTAGTCATTTAAAATCCAACTTGTCAGATGGATTTCCCCCATCGTATCAAAGAAAAGAAATGCCTGTTTGTGTGAGTCCAGTGGGACACTGCCTTTAGCAACTTCTAGAAGCAGGTAGTTTGCTTTGCATTATGTTAGTGTGTAAAGCTTCCAGTAGAAAGGGCCCTGCTGGGTGGTTTCTTGTGTCATAGGTACAAAATTGTATCACAGGGACATCATTAGGAGAATCAGGGAAGGATTTCAGCCTTATTATTTTTTAATATCACTTCTTTCCATTTCTTCTTGAGTTCTGGGGAAGGATGACAGGAACTCACTTCTTGATGTAAATGCCTGCAAATGCTGCATGTGACCATAAAATTTTCTCACCTATTTACAAACCAGATGCGTGTTTCTAAGAGTGCTTATTATTTTATATTATAAAGGATGGTTTTATACCTGAGCAGAGAAATAAAATCACTTTTCTATTTTAAATCTTCCTGGTTTAAGCTCATCATAGGATAGTCTGCTTTTACTAGGAAAAAAAACCTGGGTCATTTTAAAGCAATCTTCTGCATGGTTCATCTTTGTACTCTCAACTAGCAAGCAGTAGTCTCTTTCTCTGTGAGCTTCTAAAATCCGCTACAGGAAATGTCTACTGTGAAAAAACAAAGTTGGGCATTTCCCCCACTCTGATACTGAAAAAATATTATTCTAGTGATTGTAGAGGCAGAGTAGAGATTTCAAGATTACATTAAAATCACCCAGAGCTACCATCTTCCTTAGCTGGTTCTGGCCTCTGCCATGGAAAAATATAAATGTCTCACTGCACTGGAGACTTCTGAGATGTCCTTTTTTCACTGACAGTCTTATGTTTCAAGCAAATTTCCCTCCTTGTGTTTTCCAACCAACATATACATCTTAAAAAGGAGATAAAACATCTACATTTTGCCCCCAAATTTACAGTTTCATTTTTCTCTCTGTTTTAACAGGAAGTTTTTCCCTAGGGAATAATTTCCTACATGGATATTCCTACTCTAGAACAATAATAATTTTTTCCAGTGTACTTTAATCCCTCTTAAATATTACCAATTTTTCTCCAGAACTTCTATCTGTAGGCCAGCCTTTGCACTGAGACCAGGGACTATGCTTTTAGCATAAGAGAGAAGAAATGGATAATGTTATTCTTCAACACTTTTTCCTTGCAGTCCCTAATACCATTTCATTAATACTCTGAACATTTCCAAATGTGATATATCATTGACCTGAAAACAAGGAACAATGAAGGCTGTTCTGAACTAGCAGGATGTGCAAGTACACTGTGAAATACTGTGACTTCTTTGCCATAGGGAAGTGTCTAGTACCACTTCTCAGACTAATCCAAATTTAATTTAAGTTAGAAATAAATTCAAGGATTGCCACTTACAGTGTAATGGCTCTGTTCTTGCTCTTAAAAGTAGATTCCACCCTGTGACAGTGCATTTGCAAGAGCATTCTAAGATAACGATAAAATACAAACAGGCACCGGCTTATGAGCTCAGTAATAAATATTTTTTCAAAACAACCAGCAGAACAAACTAAGGCTAAGTGCACTCTATTGGCCTGATGTGACAAACTCATGAAGTGTGTACAACATTTACAGGAAAATCAAAGGGTGGTAAAGAGTGAGAGGCCAAAATTATCTTCTGCTATAAACTTTGCATCCATGCAGAGCCTGTAGCATCAGAGTTTGGGGCCCCTGTGTGAAATAGCTTTATAAGAATTCTGATGATTTACTCCTAACAAAATTCTAGATAGTGTTAAATGACAATGCAAGGTACAAGAGTATCAGTAAATTATTGACCTTTAGATTCCTCTCTGCATGCTCAGTATTCCCATGCAATGAGCACCTGAGCTTCTGTCAGCAGGGAAATTAAGGGCACGCAGCATATAGAGGAGTGCTTGTACTTGGCAGTATCAAAGAAGAGAACTAACAGAGGAACTGACTTAATTTATACTTCGGTTTTGGAAAGAAATGGTATTGTCTTTTTCAGAAACAGTGTCGTCTCCCCTGTCATAGATGTCATAGACTGGAAGACTTTTCAGTACTATCACTCTGTGGGCTTGCATCGAGGTGTTTTTGATTGGAAATTAGATTTTCATTGGGAACCAGTGCCAGAGCATGAAGAGAAGGTACGACAGTCTCCCATCAGCCCTATCAGGTAACAGTCCGTCAGACAATGTGCCTTGCCCAGCTCAGCAGCAAAACTGTACAGTTTGGGTCATCTTGGGTCATCTTAGGTCATCTTCCAGCTAACAAGAGAAAGGTGTGGTTACTTGCACATGCTCAGTTAATAATTCTTAAGGGATAAGTTTTTTGTTTGTGCTGTGTTTCGGCCTTTAGTAATCATTCTAACTAGACTGCAGTCACACTTTCAGTGTGACAAATACTTTCCACACATCGACACAACTAGAGTACAGCCTGACTAGACAAGGTGTGGAGGTTTGTAGGGAGAGCAAAAGACAGAGTTAAAAGAGATGTCTTAGTCATGATCTGTTTGTCTCTTGTTTTGAACATACATGTGTGCAATGTTTTTGCTGTTCTGAGTTTTATTTGATAATTCAGCTCTTAGCTCCCTTCCCCAAAAAAATCCTAGAATTACACTCCAGTTGTCCTTTATTTTGGTTAGATAATCAGTTCATTCAAGCTTATATGGAGCAGTATTGAATCATTTTGTAATACTCTCTCTATGGAAATGGTGGAATTTTCACCCTCTGTGTAATATCTTTATCTCTAAATCAGGGTGTTCACTTCCAAACTGTTTTCTACACAGGAGTCCTGCAGTAGCTGGTGCAGTGGTGGCCATGGATCGACATTACTTCCAAAATAATGGAGCTTATGATTCTGACATGACCATGTGGGGAGCAGAAAACCTGGAACTATCTATTAGGGTAAGGGCCTTAATTAAAACATCAAACTGTGTTAACTCTTGCAATTTTAAGGAAGTTGAGTGAAAAAGGAAGAAGATATTTGTAAAAACAATGCAGAACATGTTGGGTTAGGGAGACTACAACCTTCCCTGCAGAAATCTATCCCCACACTCCACATCCTGTCAGGACTATACAAGAACATGCAGCTGCTGTGAGTTAGGAGTATTATATCAGAAGAAGGAAGTTTTGCTGGCTATCACTGTCTGCCTGAGTCCTGAGTCACTGCTTTTGGCACCCTCTGAAAGCTGCCTCTTCGATTCTGGCATGTTAGCATGCACCAAAGGGAGATTAGCTTTATTTCTTTGCCAGCCTTTAGTTTTAGTAGCAAATTGTTTATATTGAATCCTTTGCATTGATTTTTGCTGAATACAAAGAGTAACTGACATTGAAAACTAATGAAAATTGCAGGCACAAAGGGCATAGTGTTTTTATTGTCACAAATAAGGGAAGGTGTGCACCCAGATCTCTCTACTACTCTGCACTATTTGTGCACAGAAAAACATAAAGGCATAGAAATAGCCATACTGGGTCAAATCAGAGATCTGAATGCCCAACATCTTCTCTGTGTCTGTGGGGAGCAATGTATGAAGAAGTATATAATAATGCTCCTGCTGTTTCCAGGATTTCCTGAAGCAGAGCCTAGAGTAAAGGAGCTTTTCCATTTCAGATAAAAGTAATCTAAATAAGGTAATATCTTTTTGTGCCTTCACCTGTGTTACAGACCTGGCTCTGTGGTGGCTTTGTAGAAATTATCCCATGCTCCAGAGTTGGGCACGTCTATCGAAGTCACTTCCCCCATGCTTTCTCCTATGAAGAGGCCATTGTGAGGAACAAAATCCGAATAGCAGAGACATGGCTGGGCTCCTTCAAAGAGAACTTCTACAAGCATGACACAGTGGCTTTCTTAATCAGCAAGGTAAAGACACCTGTAGTGGTTTGTTTTGGAGGTTTGTGTTGAGATAGGTGAAAGGAGAGGAATATGAGTGGGGGTGTCTGTATGCAGTCAGATGCAGGGGATAGATAATCTTTTTATTAAACTTTCCAGTGAAAGAGCTGTCAGATCAGGAAGGAGAGAAACTTGTGCCTAAGTTCAGCCTTGTGCTGAAGTTATCAAACCTTGTGGAGTATAACTTTTCTCCAAATGACTCCCCAAAAAGCTGTGGTTTGTTTTTTCACTGATAACACATGGAGGGTTGTGATACATCTGAAGTGGAAGCCTGCACCCCTGTGTGCTCAAAGGACTGTCCTAGAGAGTTCATTCTCAGTTACTAGTTTTCCTCGTGTGGTTCCTGAGGATATTCGGTATTATTCACAGGCGAGTGGCAAATTATAGGGAACATATCTGAGTGGTCTAGTGACAAAAAAGGTGGGCTTTTTCCCTTACTGACATATCCAGAAGTAACTGAACTGAGAAAGTTAGATCTCAACACACCACTATTTACAAGTTATATTTTCATTAGAAATATGGTGCAGACATCTGACTAGACACTCTTCCAGGAATTTGGATTCCCAGCAGCCTGTAAGCTAGGACAGGTTCCACACAGATGTGTGGTGTAGCCCTGGCATGCAGCTACACTTGAACCATCTTGCAGGTTACACACCATCCAATAGCTACAGAATGGCCACTCCTGCTTTTTAAGTACAGTCTCTGTGGCAGACCAGGGGTGGTCAAGGAACTGTATATCCCTTGTATTATAAACAAGTGGATGTTTGCTTACTGTGTGTCTTGCAGCTGTGGAGAATGTTGTTGGTGTAGTTAATGTTATTAATAATGTTAATGTTGCTGCAGTTCTCAGGAATTCTCTGGCTCTGGTACCTTTTCTTCTAATCATATTCTTTCTACAAGGCAGTGGACAAACCTGTGAGCAGTTTTGAATGAAAATGTATCATTTACCTTCCTGTTCATTTAACCATGCCACATTTTTAAGGAGAAAAACATTCACTGGAAGCATTTAGGCAGAGCATGGGTAGGTACTGTGCAGTTTCCCATTCGTATTTACTCCTGCGTTTCACAGAATCATAGAATCAGAGAATGGTTTGGGTTGGAAGGGACCTTAAAGGTCATCACATTCCAACTCCCCTGCCATGTGCAAGGATGCCATTCACTAGATCAGGCTGCTCAGGGCCCCATTCAGCCTGGCCTTGAGAAGGGGTGAGGCCTCAGGGATGATGCCTCATCCCCTTCCAGGAATGAGGCATCTACAACTTCTCTGGGCAACCTGTGCCAGTGCCTCACCACCCTCTGAGTAGACGATTTCTTCCCAATAACTAAACTAGACTTGCTCTCTTTGCGTTTAAAACTACTTCTTTTTGAAAGCCCCCCTTTAGGTACTGGGAGGCTGCTCTAAATTCTCCCTGAAGCCTTCACTTCTATCCAGTTTCATCAAGTGATCCCCCACTTGTTCTTCCCTTATAGGGTGAGGGTCTTCCTTCCCCTTCCCCACTCACTCAGAGGATCAGGGTCTTGAGAGAATGGAGACCTGACTGCCAGCAAAGACTGAGGAATACCACTCAGCTTTCTCCTTATCAGTCGCCACCAGTTCACTCTTCTTGGTTATCGGTGGGGAGGGGAGTTACACTCTCCTTGTCCTTTCTTCTCTGACCTATGCATTTATAGAATCCCTTCTTGTGATTCTTTGTGTCCCTTGCCAAGTCCTGTTCCAGCTTTGCCTTGGCTTTTCTGACCCCACCCCACATTCAAAGCATATCCCCGTACTTTCCGCAGGTCACCTGTCCCTACTTTCACTGTCTGTGCATTTCTTTCTTAGTCCTCTGTTTGAGGACCAGATCCTTGCTCAGTCTTTGGCCTGCCTTGCTCAGTTTCCTACACTGGGATAGAGAAAGCTCTTGCACTGTAGGAAAAGTGGCTTTAAAGAGCTGCCAGCTCTGGGCAGCACCTCTGCCTTTAAGGACAGTTTCCTAGGGGATCTCTCTCATCAGCTTCTTAAACAGCTGAAAGATTGCTCTTGCAAAGTTCAGGGTCTTGACTTTGCTCCTCACCAGGCTCACACTCCTTGAGATGACAAACTCAAGGGCTTGGTTGCTACAGCCCAGGCTGCCACCAATCCTGTGGCTTTCATGAGCTCATCAGCACTGGTGAGCACCACTGGCTCCAGTAATACCTGTCCTGCGTGCCTCAGTCATTCAGGGCTGGCCATCACCCAAGAAAGCCAGATCCAGCAGGAGCTGCATTATAGTGGGGAGGGGAACAGGACTGCGTATCAGTGTGACTTCTCTCTTGTAACCTAGTCCAACCTCATTATGCTCCACCAGTGGATTTGCCTCTCCAGTCAGCCTACTAATTGTAGAGTCTGGAACTATTGTGTTTCCTTTTTTACTCTTATTTTCACATCTTTTTAAGAGATCCTTCCTCCTTGTCTGTGTTGCAGGTTTGAACTCCACTGTCCAGGAGCTTGTCAATTGACTCACAAAGGTTTATAGCCACTAGACCAAGCCTTTTAAAATGGGCAGTGAGGTCTTTAAATCATTTAATAATTCCCTGAAGGCTTTTCTTGTCAGCTCAGAAGCAATTTTCTCTACTAAAAACTACAGTCACCAATGATACAGCTAGCTGTAAGCAGCATGACCTTTTGCCTGAGTTTACTCTAGCCAGAATATTTTTACTGCTTCTGAGCATGATGCTCCCTCAAATGATCAATTTTATGATCTCTGTGTGCAGCATACCATAACATAAATGGCCCTCTTTGTGTGTTCCTTTCTTTCACAGGCGATGTTTTCAGCCTGTCAGTGCACTGGGATGTTATTCAAAAGGCACAAGCAAGCAAGAACATTATTGCCACTCAGCGGCAAAAGGCCCTGAGGGGATTTATTGCGCTGAGAGGGTGAGCAGAGCCACCTATGGGCAGCTATAGAATTCTCTGTGAGTCATCACCACTATTGCTCACTGCAGAAAACAACCAGTGACCCCCATTTAGGTGGCTTTATAACTCTTCTTGGTTTATCGTCTGAATCACATTTTGCACAAAATGCCTGTGGTGTGAACATTAAATAGATGAAATAGGCTCTTCGCAGCTCTTTACTACTTCAGCCACCAGCTCTTTTGCTCCTTTTCTTGTGTGGTTTGCATATTTAATTTACAAGCAGTTTCCTTTCAGATTGGTTTACAGGGAAAATGACTTTCTTTTTGTCATTTACATCATTTATTCAGCATCAAATGCAAACTGTAACTAGTGAGATAGAATGAGATTTACTGCCACTGCCTTCTTCAGCCAAGGCAGAGTCTCATGAGAAATACCTTTTTTTAGGGGAAGCATTTTACTTCTCTCTCTCCCCCTTTCCCAAGAAAACCTCTTGAGGACAGGTTTGTGTGGTGCAGAATTGCTAAATTTTGTTGTTATGCTTATTGAATCTAAAAGTGGCACTGAAGTATGAGGTTCTCTTTAACATATTGCAACTGTTGAGCTTTGCTTGTGGAGTTTACAAAGGTTAGCAAACAATGCCATATGGAAGGATTGATCCCTGCCTTTAGAGACTAACACCTCACCTTGGATCACCAAGGTCAGTGTTTTCCATGCTACAAAGTCCATTTCTTTCTTTTTTTATGGATACAGAGAAAGAGCCGGTCTGGGAAGAAGTTATTTACTGGCAATTCTCTGCTTATGTTCCCAGTTTTAATATTTGTCAAAGAAGTACAGACCAGTTTCCTGGAATCCCATCCCAAACTGCATTTTTTAAAAAGCAGAAACATGAAGAGGGGAGATCTACTGCTGGAAAGAAAGAGGAGAGAAATTTTTAAGAGTTGTTAGATGTTTTTAATATTTGGGCACTGAGAGATCTAGAAAAGCATTTGTGTGGTTTTGAAACTGAAGAATTAGACACATAAGTGCTTAGAGGTTTTGAGAACCCTGTTAGTCATCTTTAGTGCTAAATACCCTCAAACATTCAGCCTGTCAGTCCTTTGCAGTACAGATGCCTGTAGCTGCACCAAGAGTTTAAGACATTTGTCTTTTTTCATAAGAGAGTTGCTACCAGGAAAGTTGAGAGCTGATCTTGTGTCTTTGTAATTCAAGAAAATTGAGATATCATAGAAAAGGTTTTATGTATTATAGCTGCTGAACACCTTTGTTCATTAGATTTAGTAACTGTCAGATAATAGACAGATAATAGGTGATAGACTGTATTTTGGGTTAAATTCTGTCATCACTTAGTCCCTCTGATCATAGAAGACTGACAGTAACTGGGTAATTTGGGCTGTTAAAGGTCAGGAAATTGAGTTTTTATCAGTGGGAAAAATTCTATATTAAATGGCAATCTAATACAATCCCACTGAATTTCAGTGCAACAACTATCAAACTTGGTCCTGACTTTAAAATATAAATATGATAAAGACTGACTTATCTTGCAGTATGATAATAATTTTTAGAGGACATACTTATTTTCACAATGTATGCTACTTCTGAAACACTTCTGTCACAATGCCAGACTGTGGCTGTTTTAGCACAAAGTTTGAGAAGGGCTATAGCTGGATCTCCCCCTTTGCATATGTCATAAGAGATACACATGAATATCTGTAACATTCAGACTAGAAAAGATAGTAGAAATAATTCCTGTTTCATTTCATTCATTTCCAATAATTCATTTCCACTCCTAGCATCTCTAACACAAATACACCAGCAACCTTGTTGCCCTTTTTCCATAAAGGCAGAGAAGCCAGACTGCAGCGAGCGCCTTCAGCTACAGAAGAGACTGGGCTGTAGAAATTTCCAGTGGTTTCTATCAAATGTGTACCCTGAACTCTCCCAACCTGGAGACACACCAAGACTCTCTGGCAAGGTAAGAGAAAACACACTATAAAGAATGAACTTTTTTTTTTTTTTTTTTGCATTGTTCAGAGACTCCAGTGTCACTTCCATGTCCTGAGTACTTGGTCCAAACAGGCAATGCAACCAGGATGGGAGGACAAAGAAAAAGACAAAGCAGCCAGGAACTGAACCCAGACTGTCTGACTCAGTTCAGTGTCACAGCTCAGAGGATCCTAACCCTAGGTTCTCCAGGTGCCATTAGTAAAGGAAAAGAACTGTGTTGCCTCATGCAGATGACAGAAGTCACAGCATCCAAGATATCTCTGTGCTGACCCATGTGAACAAAGAGAATAAAAAGCATTTCTTCAGTCCTGCACTTCCCAAAGAACAGAAGTGGTAGCAATAGCAATTCCCTGGCTGACTATGTACAGGACAGGGAATGTCTGGGTTGTTTTTTTTTTTTAACACATAGTTGATAATTATAATTCATTAAATATGAATTTATTCCCAGCAGCCTTACTGGAAGGAAGTTTCCCCCAACAAGGCAAAAAGGTCTACTAATTAATTCACACTCAGCTATCTTTAGCCAGATTTTACTGTGTCCTTTTACTATTTTATGTGCTCTTTATTTTCAAAGTTAGCTTGAGAAAAGTGTAACAACTGAGTGTGAATCACAAGAATTGTCATGTTTCTTTTGTTCAGGAATATTTTGTGGTTTTTTTCTGACTACAGTGTCCCATTGAAGTGACATTTCCACTAGCATAAACATTTTGATACCTTTCTTGTAATTATCAAAATAGTTAAACCCAGAAGTGGATGTCTCTAATTTAAACAAAACTCATTGGATAACACTGACCCTTGGTGAAACTCTGCCTTTTATATCACATTAGTTTGCAAAATCAATATGCAATATCAAGTCTGAAAGAAAAGAAATAGTGCCTGATTTATGAACAAAATCATGTATCATAAAGGGATGCAATCACAAAATGTTAGCTGAAGGATATTTTGTTTGTATCCAATTGTGATTTATTTCAGTATAAACCTTTACTTACAGCTTCACAATACTGGCACTGGCTTCTGTGCAGATTACAGGCCTGGAAGAGCTACTGCAGAAGGGTCTATTGAACTCTCCCCTTGCAGTGACAGTGTCACCCAGGTAATGTACACTTTGAATATGTAGGCACTGTGTCAGATCTAGGGAGCCACGCAGATGTAAGTGGCTGGGTTGATACTAGTGGAAATACTGGCATGTTCAAAATTAGCATGTGCTAAGGCAACAATGCCCACTCTTCCACAGCTGAGTGCCACTCGAAAAATACCACTCACATGTGTCACTGAGGTAGATACCCAGACTTTGCTCCAGGAGACAAAATTAAGGGCTTATTTGTTTAGCATATTTGGTAGTGTCTGGGGAACAGAAAGCTTATCAGTAAAAAAATACATAACAGTTCCAAAATATAGGGGGGGAGGAGGGGGTTCCCTATTAGTTACTAAATCTGAAGATTAATGCCTAAACTGCAGTCTAAGGTGGGAGGTAAATTCATTTAGACTCCCTAGCTGGCATCGGTCTAGCTCAGGGTGAGCTGCAGGCACATTTCAAACTGCAGCACGTGATGACACTGTCAGAAACACCCTTCTGTTCAAATATTTATGAAACTGGAAAATTTTGTGATAGGGTGGGTTTATGTTACACATAGTCATGGTTCACAAAGCCTTTCCTTAGGTAAATAGTTATGCCAGAATTAGCTAGCAGGGGGAACTGCTTTGAAGGGTCAAGGCTGTTTGGTCTCTGTCACTCCTGTTTGGGTTGTATCTTAATAAACATGTACAGGAAATTACCTTTAGAATTAGCATTTAAAAATGAACTGGGATGTCCATCCATCATTGTTCAAACAAACCCTTCCTTTCCCAGCACTTTGAATATAACATGAAGGAAATCTTACTTGGTTCTGCTCCGCTGCTTTGCTTTGATGTCAGACATGGGAAGGTTGTCCCTCAAAACTGTACAAAGGAGACAGATAACAGCAACCAGCACTGGGATATCCAGGAGGTCAGTAGTGGCTCTGCCATGGGGGAAAGGAAGCTGATTGTGACTGTGGGATCACTGGCTGATTTCAGGATTTGTGTGTGAAGAAGAGATTAGATACCTGAAGGGCAAATTTCACTTTTGTACATTTTTAACCCAGAATGTCTCTTTGCCCACTAGCACTGGCTATGTAAAAAGCTTTTGGTTTAGAAATACAAACTACAGAAATCCTACCTAAAATCCTATTTCTTTGTTTTACATGTTTATTTTACTGGCCTTTTTGGAATAGAATCAGAATCAGTAGTTGTAAAAATAAAGCAGGGCAAATCCTTTCCTATTTCCTTCAGATTGAGGGAGGGTTTGGAAATCCTGACCCCTCCCAAATGAGAGCCCTTTGTGGAGCTTTCAGTGGGAAACATTAAATTTTATCCTGCATTGTAAGAGAAGAACAAACTTCCTATTAGAGGAATTCACTGTTTTTCAGTGAATTTTACCCAGCAGAGCAGGAACTCCTCAACAAGACTGAAAAATGTTATGCTCTGGGACAGCCTGGAAAAATAGCAGCTACTGTAGTTGTAAGGATGCAGCAATCCTCTGGAACAGTCCTACTGTAATCTTGTTTGAGTCCTAAGACAAGTACTGGTCCTTATGAAATGTTGTGGTCTGTAATACTGAGGTGGTGCTGATGACAACCTGTAGCAATAGGAAAAACAGTGGTGGAAAAGAATTCTGCACCTACCACTTGCGTTAGCTTCAAAAGGAACTACAAATATTCACCATGCTCTGGGCAGAAAGCTAAATCCAGTCATTGTGTTTGGAGCATTGCTTAAAAAAATGTGAACAACCAGTTATTACTGGAGATTTATATTGTATATAAATTTTCTGAAACATGGCCTAGCTTTTACTGGAAATCCCTTACTTTTAATTTGTTCTTTCTTTCTTTTCTTCTCTCATCTTGTAGAATGGAATGATTGTCCATGTCCTGTCTGGCAAATGCATAGAGGCAGCAAAGAGTGAAGATGAGAAGGACTTGTTTCTGTATGCATGTAACAAGAATGCAAATCAGGTGTGGCAATTTGAACGTTCCCATGGGCTACGTCAGAGGTGACTGGCAGGTCTCTACAGAAGTCAAGTCTCCAAAGTTTAACATTACTTCTGCTTGGGATTTAAGATGCATTTCCTGCAAGTATAAGAAAGATGTTTGTGTTTGCTGTAGCATGCAAGGAAGTCAGGAATGTCTCTTGTTTAAAAGCCTGGCTCCTGGTTAATTCAGCTCTAGCTAAAATTTCTATTTATTCTGTGAATCAGGGAATAGAGAAATTGTGAGAATCAATAAATTCTCAACTCTGCTATTGCAGAAGACATTTAGATTTGCCCTTTGATGGAAACATGGAAAATTGGCTGCCAGACAGCTTGTCTTCAGTATAGCTGTGACTTTTGAGGATACAGGAAAAGTGAGATTTTTTGAAACTGCAAGAGGAAGCCAGCTAAACCAGGGCAGGAGTTTAGCCTTGTTTTACAGTGCCCTTGACTCATATAAAACAAAGTAGGTTTTGTATGTATAAAAGTAATAGATGTTTCCATATGTAATGGCAAAAATTTTATTTTGCAGTTAACCTGAGCCAAATTTCTACTCTCTGTGAGATTACACAGAGCATAAATTAACACTTAATTAGGCATTAATTGCTCTAATTGACTTGGACTACTGACAGTCCTCAGTGTTTGGCACACCCTTCCTTAAATCCTTGTCCACAGTCTAATTTGGATGGGAGAATGAGACTGAAATATTAATAACTTTTTTTTTGATGTTTTTAAATTATATTTTAGGACAACTCCACAGGAAACTTTTGTGGTAGAAAGGAGGGTAACAACTTCTCTGCTTATTTGGGTATAGAAAGAATTGGGGCATCCATTTGCTCTTGTAAAGTCATGGGATGAGCTTACTATTATTATTATTATTATTATTATTATTATTATTATTATTATTATTATTATTATTATTATTATTATTATTATTATTATTACTATTATTATTACAGTAACAGAAGTGCTGGCTGAAAACAGAAAGTGAAGGGAAACAGCCAGTTTCAACAGTGGCTACCTAGGAAGAAAATACTGGTTTGCTTCCATTTGCTTTCAGCCTGAGTTAAGTCTTTCAGGCTGTCAGTTTTAGCCAAGAAGATTGTGTAGATTCTTTCTGTTGTGGGTCTTCGAGATGATCCTGAAAAAAACACATTTTCTAAAGAAGCTTCTTCTGTAGAGCCTGCATTGCTGCTGACCTGCTGTCTTTCAAAGGAGTGAATGAGAGATGAGGTTAAATAACAAGAATGGCCTCACACAATATGAACTTAGCCAAGTAAACTTTCACCTCAGTATCTCATTAGGGTACTTTCCTTTCTGAAGATAAAATCAATGAAATCAATGATGACACTTCCCAAGAGCCTACTAAGAGAGAGAGTCTTCCCACATCAACACCACATCTGATTTATAGTATAAATCAATCATAATCCTATGTACATATTAAAGGGGAAGGGTATCATAAATGAAATTCATTTAAGTTTTGAATTATTTTCAAGAGACAGAAAATTGTGTGGGTTTTTTTAGATGTACAGCACATTGTTTAAACTTTAGAGAAAGGAAGGACTAACAGATTATTCTGCTTAGAGCCTTCCAGTTACCTGCTCTCAGTAAATCACAATAAATTGGTATCAAGCAAAACTGGTAACAACAGAGGACATGAAGAGTATTCTCTGTTGTGTTGTCTAAAACATCTCCCAGTGTCTAACTCTCTGTCTACTTTGAGTGCTAAAGATTCCACACTGTGTTAAGGCATCACTCCAAGCATCTTGATTACCACTTATGCTTTCTTTGATAGCATCAGAATCTATTACTATGTCTACTGTGTCATTTAAAATCTCCTGTGACATTCTGGAAAATGCTTAAATTTTCAGCTAAGATGATGATAGCAACCTCTTCCAGAACACCAAGTGATACCTGACCATTGCCCAAATCTAGGGTGAGAAAAGAGAATTTGTTAAATTGCATAAAAGCTGAGTAAAATACTGTTTTAATGACATGTGACGCCTTTATTTTAAATTATGAGTATGCCAGTTTTTTAAATTATGTATTATTTATTATATTTTGGACACTACACTGGGAATATAATTCCTTCAGAATTTAGGTAAATGTTAAAAAAACGTGTATACAAATATGGTAATTGACCACAAGCGATATTTATCACAAAGAAGAATGAAAATATTTTTGGTTTAGAGAGGAAATGTTTGGAATTTCAGAGACATGGACATCTTCATTTATACTACTTTTCAATATTGTGATAAAAACATAGAAAATAAGGCTTGATGTAGATATATGTACCATAGAAAAATATGTTACCTAATACCTCTTCAAAAAATAAAATGAAAATCTATGGTGCAGTGATATTTAGAAAATAATTGTTAATGCACTTGTTTTACTTACTAACAGAGTAAATGTATGTTTGGTTTCCAAGGGAACTAAATTCCAGAGCATGGATTGTGGAGAACACTTCCCTCTAATAGAAACATAACTTAGAACACACAAATTTAAAAAACAAACAAACAAACAAAAAACCAACCAACCAAACAAACAAAAAACCCAAAGGAAAGCATCTATCCCTGTTTTTCCTATTTTCTTTCCTATATGGCTTTTAAATGGATTGGTTGGTTGTACCAATACTGTTTCCTCATTGTGGTCATTTAGACTTTGCCCTTGTGGTTACATCTATCAGCTAAACTCTTCTCCTCATGGAACTGGGCTCAAGAAAGAGTGGTGGCTAAGCATGCTGGTATGTTTTCTTCATTTTTACCCATCTTTCATTCAATACTAGCACACAATGATGCTTTGAGCACCACAAAACATAGAATTACTTTCAGTTCTCTATTTAGACATGGTCAACATTCCAGGTTCCACTAATTCCCGTGACAGGAGAGAAACTAAGGACAAAATGTTTCAGGCAAGAATGAAGCAGTTTAAACTTTGAAGACCTCCAAAGGAGAGCCTCAGGCAAGAGCAAAGGAATTCCAGCATAACAAATAAATACCTTATAGTGTAACTCCGCCTGTTTCTTTGAATTTCACAACCCAGGCACAGTGCTTTGAGCCAAACCCACCCATGAAGCTGAGCTAAAAGGTCAGATTCAAGAACAGGTCACCTTTTGGTTGACAGCACTTACTAAACAGCCTAGTTTATTCCTCTCCCAGCTCATAGAAAATGGAAAAAATAAAGAGTTGAAATACTGTTCAGAGTACTTTTAAACTGAGCCCCAGTTGATGCAGTTGGTGTTGGCCGTAGGCTGGGGTTTGTCCTGTTAGGTGAGGTGCCATCACTGGCACAGAGAAGCAATGGCAGAATTCCTCTCCATGTGTTAAGCTGAAGTCTAAATGGGGATGGGAGGTTTACCAACCTTCATGCTAAATCCTGTAGCACAGAAATGTTGAGGGTATCTCTCAGTCCAGGTGTAAGTGCCTCCAGGTCCTGTCTTGAAGATGTTCATCGAGCTGTAATACTGTCTGCTGATTGAAATGCAATAGCTTCCATTTCTGATATACCCAGGAAAGAATGGAACAATGTTCAGGCATCCTAGACAAGAACAGTAACAGCCCAGGTTTCCATAACAGCTGGAAGGCGACATGTGAGTGAGAGTTTTCAGATTCTGACTTTGTATCTCATTTTAACTCAAGCAGTTCGATTCAAACTGCAAACATATTGGAATAGAGTAAAAAAGGAGTGTTTTGCAAATAGGTAACATGTTTTTAAGCTCATGTTTTTAAGCTATGCAAACTGCACGTGTCTGCCCTGAATAAAGTGTATCAGTGCACAGAGAAACATATTTTTATTTCCTTCATTGTGTTATGATTTGTTAATGCCTTGTTTTCCTCATGCTGCAGCAGAGCTGGTCTGCAAAAAATCCAGTCAGAAAGCATCCAGTGGCAATACCCTCATTCAGCCATCACCTGATAGTCTTACAGAAATGTACATCTTGTCAGGACTTGTCGGCATCTTAGAGGGGGTTTGATTATGCAGACCTCTGCCATAATTTCCATTGGTTTCATTGGAAAAGTCTGAGTAAGAACTCCAAATGCAGAGTCCCTGGAAAGCATGAACTCCGGCACACCCTTCAGGCCGCTCACAGCTGCTTATTCACCAGGTGCTTTGGAAGGATGTTTTGGAAAAACAATCTGGCTACATGACTTGAGATAGCAGCCATAGTGGTTTTGCTATCTTTCTAGCTGCTAATTTTTAATTTATTTTTTTTTTAATTAGCTATCACTCTTGGGGATGATTATGCTTTAGACATGTGGAACAGGATTCACCTCTGTTAACTGGGCCCACCTGAACAGTAGTCACAACTAAGGCAATTTAAGTTTCTTCTACTGGTGAACAGAGTACATTTCCAGAGGTAATCAGTGGCAAGTATTTAACCAATATGGGTAAATCACTGTCTAGAAATGCTTGCTCTCTCTAATGATTAGAGAGGGTTTATTGATAATTAATTTAGATGTCATGTATAAATTTTAAACTGAAGTTAAGTGGAAGGAAAGTAATCCCAAAGAGTACCCAGGCTAAAATCCCTTCCAGGAGTCCAACCCCAGTGCCCAGCTCTTCCAAGATTCCTCCAAGATCTGGCTTTAGGCCAGATGACAGCCAAGAACAAATTTGCTACCATCTGCAGTTTCCTCAAATGAGTTAAATCCAGCAGCACACTTTTCCAAGACAGCTTCTTTGTTCACAGACTGAGAGACCCCATTGTGTAGGATGCCGTGTTAAAACATGATCTGGTCACAAAGGAATAAGAATTTAAATTTTCAGAAATGTCTCTATAATATTTTGAAGATGTTAACTCTAATATTAATAATAAATCTTCTGTATCTTTCTGCTGAGTAGGCTGGAAGGCTGCAGCAGAATTTTCAGGACACAGAACAGATACAGGTGCCAGGATTGTTTGCAAGGTTCTTCTTAGCTTGAACCTAAGTTACAGACAGACCAGCCTGAGGGCTGAATGCATTTCTCAATTTCTAAGTAGATGCACAATGTCCTTACTTAGAGTCCATGACCTTTGGTAATACTATTGTGATACTTATTTACACCAATGGTAATTTTGTGTAACAAATTGAAAAAAAGGTGAAAGTAATTAACTTTTTGAAAACTTGCATATTATAAAAATACTTAATATATTTCAAAATATCTAATCTCTTTTGTGAAATTACTCAAAAGATTGCTCCTGCATTTATTAGTCCCTCAGTCTTACAGACTGATAACAAATAATCTAATAATGTCACTTACACTGTTATAAGCATAAATGAGCTTTAAAATACTACATCCCTTAGTATTGTATTTTTCACTGTATTTTTTATTCACTTCTTATTATGCTATTAGGTGAAAACTGGGGGTTTTTACTACCGCTTTTTTATCACTTAATGTAAGAATTACACAAAAAATTTAATTGCAGCTCCAAAAGAAAATCAGCTGGTACTTTGATGTATCAGGAGTTCAAGATGGAGAACATCACATATTTATTTATACCTGAGTACAAGCCCTTGGGAGGCTGCTTCTGTCAATCACCCTTTATACATCTAGTTTGGGATTACT